CTTTCAACACTTTGAATAAGTTTTGTTACTGTTTTCTGATCCCCACGATTTCTGGAGTAAAATCAAGTTTATGTTTTTAAAGTCAAGTTTTTATTTTCTCGTTGTCTTTTACACTTCAAATAACATAATCTTTTTTTTCCTCTTACTTGGATGTATTGGTCAATTTCCTATATGTAGACGAGTGGGTCTTTTTAAAATCACATTTGAACAGTTTGGGCTCTTACTTCTTCACCTTTATTTTTCGGATCCCTCACACACAGCCATGGTTTCTATTTTGTGACTATTACTAGGCTTCATGACTCCTACAGGTGTCTAAGAATCTGTTCATTTGGAAAACTTCTTTCTCCTTTCTTTCCTCCAAAAGTTGACATCAATGAATTTACTTTCAAGCTAACTGAATTTTTCTTCTGATACATTAGATATGCTTCTGTGCTCTTCTGGTGAAATTTTCATTTTTTTCTATTTTTTATTATTTGAGAATTTTGTAAGCGTATATACTATATTTTGGTTAAACCCATTTACCCTTCCCTTTTATTTCCTTATCTATCCCCCCTACTTTTATTTCTTAATATCATGTTGTCTTTTTGTTGTTCCTTTTTAAGTTACAGAGTCTATTTACTGCTGTCTATATATACATGGATTAAGATCTAGGAGAGCCTGGGTAACCTCACCGTGATGCCATCCTGTAAGAAATCTGACTTATCTTTTCCTAGCAGTCACTAAGTGTCCAGAGCTCCTCAGCCAGGGGTGCAACTTCATGTGCTCCACCCTCATCTGTGCTGGGATTTTGGACCACGTGGGCTTGTGCAGGTAGTTACAGCTGAATTCGTTTCAGTAGTTTTATGATTCAACTCCAGAATTTCCAGAAGACTTAGGAATATTTATTTGTTGCTGTTCTCCACTTGAGATTTATTGTTTTCATATTTTCTTCATTTTTACATGGTTTTTATTATTGGAAGCTATTTATAAAACAACTGGTTTAAAATCTTTAATAATTACAATGTCAGACTCCTCAGGGACAGTTTATATTCATTCTGTGCATCAGCTACACTTTCCAGTTTCTCTGCATTTATTATTATTTTTATTGAAAATGGCATTTTCAGTACCAGAATAACTCTGATGTCACATCCTACTTCCTTTCCACAGTTTGTCATGTTCCTATCCATTTTTTATAGTGACTTTCTTGTATGTAATTCTATAACATCTGGTCCTAGAAAACACTGCTTTCTTCTAGATTTGCCCTTCCTGTAGCACCTGGATCATCCCTGCACTGGATGCACAGTGAATGCCGGTTCATGGAGAATGAATCGAAAAGATTCACTAGAAAACCTCACTCATGTTCATCCTAGTGAGAACGGAGTTTACTGGTATCAGTGGACAGTTTACAATGGGGAAGAAGGGAATAAGAGCTTCTATTTAATCACATTGGAAACTCTATAAATGAGAAAAAAATGCCTGAAGAGGGTGCAGAAAGATTGTGTGAGCCAGAGGCTGTCAGCAACATCAAGGAACGAGTGTTTTCCACACATAATGGGCCAGATGCATATATAAACATGCAGTGATTATGTTAGCATGCCCAAGTTCCGTGCAAGATCCAGAGAAAATCCAGCACAGAGAGGTCAAGGTGGACAGGAAATCTCCCACCAACTGAGTAACTGCTGGCATTTGAAAGCCGCTGGGAGACAGGGAGTCAGTTTCCTTCAGTGATGTGACCCATTGGTAGCTGACCGCCTACCGGGACAGACTTTACTGTCAAGGCTAGCTGGGTAACATAAACTGGACTTGGAAGGGAAAGAAAATAGAAAAAAAGGAAACATCTCAAAGTTGAATCAGAAGAGGTGAGAGGATGGTGTGTGTGTGTGTGTGTGTGTGTGTGTGTGTGTGTGTGTGTGTGATGGGGATATTTGATATGTGTGTTCAAAGCACATTGAGTAAAAGTTTTCAAAGAACTAATAAAATATTGCCAAATTGTGTTTCCTACATTTAGCAATATATCAGAGCTTACATACTTTAAATTCTAAACTCGCCCCTTTCTATGGGTGTTCATAGTTTCCCACGCAAATACCCATTTCTGCATTTATTCAAGAAGATGCTGCTTGCAGATAGCTCTACCGTGGATGTCTATGGACAGAGCTCGAAATGAGCTTCCATCATCTCCCAGGGTACCGACAAACCACACAGGAGACATTACGCTTTGCCATTTCACTCCTTAAGACAGAACCTAATTAGATCATCTTCTGGCATTGATCAAAGAGGGCCTTTGGAAAGTTTAACACGTCTGAATGGACTCAGTTGCCAGACAGCAACCAGTGTGCCAAAAATAGAGCCTTAACCAAAGCCAAAAAAATCGGGTTGGCTGAGGCATGGCTGACTATGGGGCGCTAGGTACTTCTAACAGCCGGGTTTGATAGAAGCAATTATGAACAGCAATAATTGCCTGTCGGGCAACTTGGCTATTTGCTGAGGACAGAGCTGATACAGTTAGACACGAAGGCAGCTGGGCCTGCTGTTGTGGCCTTTTCCCTTTAGATTTCTTCTGGTTCCCATTAGAAGGAAGCTCAAACTGCCGACCCTGTTAAGACGTCAAGGTGGGGAGGGAGACGCTCTTGAAGCCATCTTTCAAGGTTGCTTCTATGGTCGGTTTAATTTTTAGAATGGGGGTCCTGTACACATTTATTTCCTTTCTCTTTCCCCTAAGTGTTGAAAGCATGAAGCTCCCATCAACAAGGGAGTCGAGGAACGAATCCTTGTTTTCTATAAGTGGCAGGATCAAGCTGTTAGGGCACTTTCTACCCCTCCTCCTCCTCCTTCTCCTCCTCCTCCTCTTCCTCCTCCTCCTTCTATTCTTCTTCTTCTTCTTTTTATATTTTTATGTGCGTGGCTGTTTTGCCTACATGGTAGTTTGAGCACTGCCTCTGGTGTGCCTGATGCCCACAGAAACCAGAAGAGGGCAACAGACCCTCTGGAGTTGAATTTGCAGATGTTGTGACCCCCTACCTAGGTGCTGGGATCTGAACCCTGGTCCTCTGAAAGAGCAGTCAGCTCTTAATCCCTGAATCATCTCTACAGCCACTCTGTACTTTTCTCCCCTTTGCCATACCAAAAGTGTGAGTTTAGGTGTTCGATCGGAATTTATATATTTGTTTATTTATTTCACAAGTTCTTTAACCGGCAACTCTGAACTCTGATTAGGGCTTCAAATGCCCATTTCCATAACTGGAAAGCTTGTAGAAACCTGGACTTCCACTTTCTGGCCCTTGGTTGCCGTATGAACATTTTGCCTGCATGTGCATCTGTGTGCCACACACATGCCTGGTGCCTATGGAGGTCAGATGAGGATGTTGGGTCCCCTGGAACTGGAGTGACAGCTGTGAGCAACCATGTAGATGCTAGGAATCAATGCCTGGGTCCTCTGGAGAGCAGCTAGCGCTATTAAGCACTGACCTATCTATCCAGCTCCCATTTTTAGCTTTCTGAGTCGTCTTCCTGTCAATTTTTGAAGTGACTCAACTAGCTTACTTTCCCACTAGCAGGTAAGGGTTCCCTTTCCCCCACCCGACATCCTCCCAGAACTTGTTAGCACCTTCCATTAATGCTAGCCATTCTGACCGCTGTGAGTTGGGGTCTGCATGGAGGTTTAACATGTATTCCTTCAGGGTGGTAGGATATTGAACAATCACCCATACTTTATATTTTTGAGAACTGTCTGTTTTATCAACCCTCTTACTGATTAGATTGTGTGTTTTGGTGTGTAGGTCTGAGCTCTTTGTGCATTCTAGATACTGAGTGTTGGCTTTCTCTCATTTTGAAGGCTCTATCTTCATGTTACTGTTTACTTTGCTGAGCACAATGTTGTTCATTGCTTGCGGTTCCATTGTCAGCTCTTGGAATTACTCAGCTAATGCGTTTTCAGAGAAACCCTTACCTGTGCCTGAGCCTTGAAATGTTTTATTTATGTTCTCTTCTAGCACTTTCAAATTTTAAGATCTTATATTAAGGTCTTGATCCATTTTGAACTGATTTGTTTTTATGTGCAGAGTAAGCTATTTGGATGAACTTTTATTCCTTTAAATGTGGACATCCTGTTTTCTCCGTAGCCTTGCTGAAGAGGCTGTCCTATGGCTGGCAAGATGGCTCAGCAGGTAAAAGTTCCTTCTGCAAAGCCTGGTGGCCTGAGTTGGATTCCCTTGGGATCCACATACCCTCTTGATAGAAGAGAGGATCTACTTGCACAGGCTGTCCTCTGACCTTTACACATGTTCATCACTGTCTTTACAGAACATCAGGTAGCTGCTGTGGTTGCCTGGCTTTATTTCTGGGTTGTCTTTTGGTTTACACGCCTGTTTTTGTGTCAGAACCACACTGTTATTGTTACTATTGCTCTGTAAGATCATTTGAGATGAGGAAGTACGACACATCCTGCATTGTTCTTTCTGCAAGGATTCTGAGTTTCCATACACATTTTGCGGTTGTTTTTTTCCTTTTCTGTGAGGATTATCATTGAGGAATTGATGGAGATTGTATTGAATCTGTAAACCACTTTTTGGAAACACAGCATTAAAAAAAATCGATTCTGCCAATCCACGGGCACTGGCATTCTTTTCATATTGTTCTGTCTTCAGTATTCTTTCTTCAATGCTCAAAAATTCTCAATGTTGAGGTCAGTGTTAGGCCTACTTTTAAGCTATGGTGACAGTGTTGCTTTCCTGATTTCTCTCTCTGCATGCTCATTATTGGTATGTAGGAAGGCTGCTGATTTCTGGATGATTTTATACCCTGCTACTTTGTGAGTGTGTTCACTTGTTCAGAGAGTTTTCTGGTGGAACCTTTAGGGAGTCTCATATATAGGAGCCTATCATCTGCAAGTAGGGATAATTTGGCGTCTTCCTCTTTGTATCCTGATGTGACCGCCTCGAACCAGCAATGACGACGCGACAACAGAGCTCTTCTTGCATGCAGTTTATTCAGGAGCTTGAACAGTTGTTTCTCTATCGCTTCTCTCCCGTTTCTGTCTGTCCTGGGTCAGACCTCTCCCAGCCCTTATATAGGCTATGGTCGCCTATCCCGGAGTGCCACGTGGACATTGTCCATAGGCTCAAGCATACGCAAGCGACACAGGATCATAGCAGGTCACAGGCCATCACCATAAAAGGAGTTGTTTATCACAGAGAGCGCTTGCTTTCGGGCTTGCGGCTGGCAGCAGTCTGCGCCATCTTAAAGGCGGCTCCACGCAGCTCTCTACAGTATCCCTTTCATTTCTCGTCTAATTACTTTAGCTAAGACTTCAGACACTATAAAGGGCAAGAATGGAAAAGGTGAGTACTCGTGCCTCATTCCTGACTTTAGTAGAAAGATCAGTGTTTGGTGGGCACAAATCAAGGAAACAAAGGTGCCCACTCTGATCCTAGGAGCCTGAGGAATTTTCCTAGTCTTAGGTACCTTGATTCAGCTCAAATCAGGCTTTGGTGCTGGAATTAATTTTAGGGCCAGACAGTTTATGAAGCAGAATTGGAAGTTTTATTAAATAAATTTTAAAATGGGCTTAAAAATGAAAATTAGGAGAGGGAAAAGTGCAGTGCTCAAAACAAATCAGAATGTGTCCAGGTGTGTAAGGGCTCCTCAGGGAGAGATATCTCACTGTTTTTATAGTAGTCATATATGGGGTTTGGGTGGGGTGTGAAGTTACTATCTCATCACTGGAGGGTTCCTGATAGAATTACAGTGGCTAAGGTAAAAGACTCTCTCACAGGGCATGGGAAAGTGGGTATCATTACTGTAAACAGCTCTGTTTGAGATATTCAGGCAAAGCCCAGATAGAAGAAGAAAGGCTTTGTAAGATCATATGCCTTCAGGCCTTCAGTCTAGGTCATTGTTATTTTTGCATAAATATCTCCATATGAGGCTTTGTTGTTTAACACTTCTTGAAGTGTTTATTAGACATTTGTGGTAGTTTTTTTTTTCTGAGACATTTCTGCTCGGTCTTCAGCCTGTATTTTTTAAATGAGATTATTTTCTTGCTTTTGAGTTTTTGTATATCCTAGGTATAGATTCTCTGTCAGCAGATGGCAAAGTTTCCCTCCCAACCTGTAGGCTGACCTTTCACTCATCACTCTTCCTTTGCTATCCAGGAGGTTTTAGCTTCATAACGTCCCATTGGTCATTGTTGGCCTTATTTCCTGAACCACCGAGGTCCTGTTTAAGAAGTCCTTCACTGTGCCCATCCCCTGCAGGCTGAAGTTTCTCTTCTAGCAGCTTTGTAGCTTCGGGGTTTACAATGAGGTCTTCGGTTCATTTGGTTCTTATTTTTGTGCAGGGTGAAAGATAAGAGTCGAGTTTCACTATTCTGCATGTACCCATTCAGGTTTTTGTTTGTTCATTTTTTGATTTTTAAAGAAAGGTTTTTATTGGATAGTTCTGGCTGTCCTAGATCTTACCATGTAGACCAGTATGGCCTCAAACTCACAGAGATCTACCTGCTTCTGCCTCAGCAGCGTTGAGATTAAAGGCATGAGCCACCTTTGCCTAGCTCTCGTCTAGTTTTACTCACACCATTTGTTGAATATGCTGTCTCCAGTATGTATTTTTGGTATCTTTGTCAAAAATTGGTGTATTTAAGTTCAGGTATTTTGTTATGTTCCATTTATTCATGTGTTTGTTTGGGTGCCAGAAACATGTGATTTCTATTAATATTACTATGGCTCTATACTAAAGAATGCATAGTATAACTTGAGATTGGGTACAGTATGGAATGAAGCCATACTGGTTGTGGACTATAATTTCTGTGGTCATGAGGGGTTAGTTTATACTTATCCTGGAAAGGTTTTCATGTTCTTTCAATAATGAAGGGTAATTCTTCTGGATCTAGTGATCTGGGTTAACAGTTACCGATTTCAGATCTTAAAACACATCATTCCATACCACCCTGTCTTTTAGAGTTTCTGTTGAGAGAGCCACTGGGATTGTAGTGGATTTGTCTTATGTGTAATGAGAAACTTCTTCCTTGTGGCTTTCAATGTTCTTTGCCCAGTACTCTCAGTGTCTTAACTGTGACATAATACAGGGAGTACTTTCCTGGGCCTATCTACCTGCCTAGTCTTCTAAAGGCTACGTGTCTTGTCATCTCTTTCCCTTGATTGAGCATTTATTCTGGTAGGATCTTATTGAATGTGTTTTCCATGCTTTTAGTTTGTAATGCTCTTCTTTCTAACCATGGTTTATAAATTTGGTCTTTCAACAGTGTCCCACAGAATTTACATATTCTGTTCATACTTTTACTTTATATTTAATTTCATTCTTCATATCTTTATTGTTCATCTACCTTGTCTTTAAACCCTGATATTGTGTCATCAACTCAATTCTCTTGAATGAGATTTCTACTGAGATTTTTATTTGACGAAGATTTTCATTTCTGAAATTTCAGTTTTCTTTTTCTCAGTATTTATATATCTTTAGTGAATTCTTACTCCAAAACTTGTATTGACTTCCATATTTCATTAAGGCATTTATTCATATTCTTTTTGAATTAAAGAGCTTAGTTATTACATTTTCATGGCTTTCATCAATCATTCTTACAATTATCATTTTGAATTCTTTGCCTGAGACTTCACTTAATTAACTTTTATTAAACCCCACAGCTGTAGAATTGGTAACTTTTGAAGCCATATTGCATTGATTTTTCATGTTTCTGCCTTGGTTAATTGGACACAGAGAATTACATCATATGTTGGATCTTAAAAAATCACCTGTATTCTTTCAGTTGAGATATTTATTCAAGTGGACTCAGTTGTAGCAGGGTTGAGTGTCATTCCTCCCCTCTAACCTGAGGGTGTAGCTTAATAGCTAAACCCACAACCTGTATCCTCAAAGAGTCCCTGGCATACCCTCCAGTGATATTCTGTAACACTAAAATCAGAAGCAACCATGATTGATGGATAAGGCACTTATGGAGGTATTGTAGCAGTCAATCAAAATATTTCCCCTCAATTCTAATCACTTTAGAAGAGTGAAAAGTGTAGATAACACAGTACAAAATGTTAGTTACTGAGGGTAGAAATGAAAAAGAAAAGAAGCCGAATAAGTTAAAGAATTATTCTAAGAGCAAGAGAAAATAGAGAAGTGATAAGTAAGGGGGGAGTTGAGATATGGTTGGGACAAGTAAAGCTCAAAGGTTATTAAAGTCATACACATTTGTAATTAAGAACTAAAAGAAGGGAATGGGAAAGAGAAAGGAGAAAATGAGGATGGAAAGGGAACGCTGTAGGTAAGGAAAATAGTACAGACCATGCAGTAGAGCAGGCATAGGCACACAGGACAATGATCAACTCAAGGCATAGGAAAACTAAAGAAAATAATCAAATATTTACTCAAAAATGAAAATTTAAAAATAACAAAAGGTGATGTAAAATAAAAGATATTATAGCATAATCTAAGTTTTCTTCCTTTCTGGAATGGGTGCTGCCTTCATCCCCTAACACTTGTCTAACATGGCATGACCACTTTTCATGTCTACAGTTCAAACTCCTCAACTCAGATCGTTTGGTATGTAGTGTTTTAGTGGAGCTCAAATGGTCACATTTTAGTTTCAATTTCTGTCCAGGTATCATTGGGATTAGCTTTCCCTGAGGCGTTCTCCCAGATCTTAGCATGGAGGCACCACCTCAGACTAGTTCTTGCCTGGTCATCTATGGCTTTCTGCAGGTGTGCTAAATGATTACATTTCTCCATATGTATTATAATGTCCAAATGTCTGCAGCTTAGACGTGACTGCTCCTGTGCCTGTATTCACCTTTAAAACAACTGAATATTGTAGTTTGCCTGGGCTCAGGATACCTTTCTCTTAGTGTCCGCAGTCCTAGTGTAAGTATGTTTGCGTCACTGAGTTTCAGTCCAGGTCATTTCCTATGGGTCGTTCATGTGGCTCTGTTGTTCCCTAGGTTTCCCGCTCTTTGTGATGAGGCGTGGTGGAGGGCACAGGGAGGAGGAAGGACGGATGGATGGACGACTATGACAACGACTCTGGAGTTTAGAGATGTGATTGCACTGAACTTTCTGCTTGTTTGTTCCGGTACAGACAGGAAGTGATGTGCAACTAGGGCCTGGAGTGGCTTCCAGCATTTGCTGCACTCAGCTTGGGTCTCTGTTGTACACATATTGGGGGTTTGCCTCCGGAGCTTTTTCTTTTTTTCCATTCATTTGTGGATCCAGAGTGGAAGGCGAGACTCTCTCCCTCTGCGGTCGGCCTGTTCAGTGCTCTCCGTTAAAGCCCGTGGCCCCTTTTATAAAGCTAACGATGGTCTCCTGTGATGGTTTGGAGTTCTAGTTCGCTGTTGCCTGGGATCCTCCATACTCTGTCCATTCTTTTCACCTGTGAAGTCACAAAACAGATCATTTCCTTTAGATTCACAGGGAGGTAGGAGAGTGTTGCTAGTCCCTACCCAGTCATCTTCTGCTCCCTGTCTCTGTTCTTTAAAGGACACTAGTCATTAAATTAAAGGTGTTCCCTATTTGAGCATGACCTCATCCTCACGCTTGGCAATTATACCTGCAACAGCCTTATTTCTAAATTAGGTCTCATCCTGAGGCACCAGAACTAAGAACTTCAGCCTATCCTTCTGGGGCCTGGGGAGTATAAGTCTATCCATAGAAGGGATTATTCTAGTTGTCTGATCTAGTTTAACTTTGTGACTGGGACCCAGCGGAGTAATAAATGAAAAACTATTTAGAAATGACAGATTATTATTCACATGCTTGGAAGACTTTCTTCTCTTTGCCATTTACTGTGAAGATATAGTAATATTTCACAAAACTTCAATTGTCAACTTGAATACTTAAAGGAATTCATAGCTTATTAATTCCATTAATGTATGGTCATGCACTACATAATGATGTGATGGCCCAAGATGGATTGCCTATAGGATGGCGGTCCCACAAGATTAAAATGAACTAAAAGTTTCCTATTGGCTAGTTACATCATAGTCTTTTGAATGTTGTAGCGTGGTGCACTCTGGGTGATACCACTATAAACAAATCTCCTTTGTTGCAATCACATCGAAACAGCATGTAAAAATTAATATATTCTGATAAACGACTGCATCTGACTTAGGCATTTATAGTTTTTATTGTTATTTTATGATGCTTACCTCCTAAATGGTTTATTATAAAACAGTACTAAAAGTATACAAACAACATCCTCATACACCTTATGTGTACAGTATGTCTTCACTGCATCTATAGACCAAGCCAAGCGAGTAACCTCGACCATTAGAAGGTAACTCCCACAGTGACAAATCTGCCTAACCAGAAGGTTTGCTTGTCCTTGGGTGACACGGAGTGTGCACTATCTGTCTGCAGTTTTCAAGGAGGCTCCTGTTCCTAGTTAGAAGTAAGAACAATGGAGAAATTAAGTCAAACAGCACGATCAAAGGCATACAGCATGGCAATAAAATTATTAGGACTGGGTCTCAGGGACACCGCAGTGTAGGGTCCTGTTTTAGCTCCCTCTAATGCTGTGATGATAATTTCTCTCCGGAGGCTGCATTTTCTCATTAGGTGGATCATTTGGAAGAACCAGAGGGTCACATTCTGATCCAGGGAGAATTACTATCGCCAGAAGCCTCTGCTCCTTTGGTTCCAGCTCTCTGGAATGTGGCGATAAAGATGTGAGGTGGGATAAGAAAGTAGGGCTCCTAGGAAAGAGGGTCGGGGTCATCAGGGAACGGAATAATTAAAATGAATAGGTGAAGTTTCAATTCCGACAACAAGGCATGAATTAAGTGTTGTGTATAGGATAATTAGCAGTCATTTATTACAAGAAAATTGCTACCAGCTGTTCAAAACCCGGGAGTGAGAGGCTGATCTGTGAAAGACTCTAAAATGAAGCTGGCTCCAAGGCCTCAAGGCTGCGTTTTATTGTCCAGAGACAGCCTTGCCCTGGGGTGAATCCATCCCACTCAATAATTGCTGTTGCACAAGTTTCTTATCTTGGCCAAAAAGCTCCTAGAGAACATTGGGTCAAGGGGCTTTGGGGAGTCAGAACAATAAAGGGCGATATAAGATTGTCAGAACCTCAGAACCCCAGGATCACGCCTGGTGTATATCTCCTGCTTCTTTAGAGCCTGGTTTAAAAACATGGCCTTGTCTTTTGCCAGTGTCCATTTCCCCACTGAAGCCCTTGCCTGTTCCTCAGCAGGACAACACAAGTTCTGTTCCAAGCTCTCTCCCATTCTCTTCAATGTCACACTTCATTGCAGTTGCTTTTTTGAGTTATCTGGGAACCTGAGGGATACCAACTCTAATAACATGGGCAAAAAAATTAAATAAATAAAATAATAAAAAAATAAAAAGTATGAGATTAATCTTAGGAAATCTTCTCAACCTGACAGTCACGACACTAGCAAAGACACTCTCAATGTCTCAAAGTCAAAACACAATTCAAAAGAAGTTTCCACTGCCTACCATGGGGCAATCTGAATAGTGGTACAAATAATATAAAACCTGTCAGAACTGCCCACATTCCAGGACCAGGTGCTCACTGACCCTGCCTTCGGTCATTGCCATCACTAGAGGCCAATGGGACACGCCATTCCTAAGGGCTGATGTGACACGTTTCCACCATTGAGTGTGCATTTGCTCCACACCCCTATAAAGTCTGCATCATCACTGCCTGCACTCTTCCTCTTCCTCCCTCTCTCCCTCCCTGTCCCTCCCTTTCTCCTTCCCTCTCTCCCTCTCTCCTCCCTCCCTCGCTCAGAGGCAGCCTTTTCCAAAAGAAATCTCTTGCATGCGGTCTGTTGTGTGGTGTGATTTTTGCAGTATTCCTTGGCCCTCCAGTCTCTGCAAAACCCTTACAAAACCAATGAGTTAAAGCACGCCCGGTATGTTGAACACCCATGAGTTAATAAAGATACTAGAGTCCATATTCACTGGCATCTTCTAAGACGCCCTAGTTTCACCTCTGTTGCTGTGATATGATACCAGGACAGAAAGCAACTCGGGAGAGAAAAGTTCTGGCGTCTAATTCCTGGTTTGAATTTCAGTCCATTACTATAAGAAATCAAAGCGGCTCGTCCCATCCCATCCACGGACTAAAGCAGAGACAAGATGGATGCATGCATGGCTGCACTCAGCTCACTCCTAAGCTGTTCTACCGCTCAAACAAGACCCATTGCTAGGCCCCAAGTCAAAGGTCACACAGATGTGGAAATGGAGGAGGAATGGAGACCCGAAACTCAGTTGACCACAGTTCTCATTCTCTCTCTCTCTCTCTCTCTCTCTCTTTTGTCTCTTTGTAATTTATTTGTTGATGAAACTCAGCTGTTTGTAGAATTACGAATGTGGATTTCTTCAGATGACATTACCTTACTATCATCTCATAATTCTCTTTTCTCTGGGAATCTGTAACTCCAGCTACAGGCTGTGGGTTCTCTATAGGATATTTGGAGACAGTGATGCCTTTCATCAGGTGACACACAGTGTCCCACTGTCTCCCTTCTACTGTTGTTAGCACCACCACTGGGCATTGCCTGATGGAGGAGGGTTATCTGTTTATTGTGTTATTTTCATTGGTCAATAAAGAACTGCCTTGGCCCTTTGATAGGACAGAAAATTAGGTAGGCGGAGAAAACAGAACAGAATGCTGGGAAGAGGGCAATGGGGCAGATGACATGGAGCCAGCCACCAGGTCAGAGATGCTGAATCTTTTCCGGTAAGCCACCACCTTGTGGTGCTATACAGATTATTAGAAATGGGTTAATCAAGATGTGAGAGTTAGCCAGTAACTAACTCTCTAGAGATAATGGGCCAGGCAGTATTTAAATGAATACAGCTTATGTGTTATTATTTCTGGGGCTAAGCTAGCTGTGCGGGAGCCGGGTGAGGCGAAAAGCAGGCCTGCCCGCAGCTCCTCACTACAATTGCCAATGTCCATCACAGAGGTAGAGATTTGCAAAATGGTTTATTTTCTTCATTTACTGCTGAAAACTCCCTTTGAAGGAAAACACACCTCCATCATCTGTTTGCTACTTGAGGGGCAGCTCCTACAGGAAATCAGATTAAATGCTTGATTCTTTTCTTTACCAGTTTCTAGAAAAATATATTTCCCCAGTTAGCTCCTGTCATGGTTAGTTTTAATTGTTAACTTGACACAGTTGGCAATCAAATGGGATGCCTCAGTAAAGTGTTGTCTGGATCATGCTGACTTGTAGGCATGTTAATGGAGGACGTTGCCTTGATTGTCTTAATTGATGTAAAATGACCCAGCCTAAAAGTGGGCAACATGTTTTCAGCTGAATGTCTCTTCCTATTTTGTCTGATTCCTCTTCTGGAAAGATGAAAACAAATATTTACTCCGATGAGAAACTGACAATAGACCGAAATAAGGATATCACCAAAGTCCAACTTAGAGAATCAATGAAATTTGATTGTTTGTTTTGGTTACTTACAGCAACATGGGAAAGGGGTTACTTACAGAACTTATAAGTGACGTGTATAGGTGACAGCTCACAAAAGCTGGAAACAATGAGTATATACGCAACTTGCAGGCAGCTCGGGAACTGGAACTGTCCTGTCCAGGTATCTCAGTTGGTCTGAACTTTTTCCAGGATGCTTGACTCATGTCTGGTGTTTTTTCAGGCAACTCAGGTAGCTCAGCTGGTCTCTGTCTATTTCAAGTGGCTTTGCTGGTCTTAGGGTATCTCTATCCGGTCCCCATTGCTTATATAAGCTGTGGAGAGAGAGGCCTAGGTTATCTGTTCAGTTTTAGGGACTTCCTGAAGCCTATAATTTGTTTACTTCCTGAGATTATAGTGCTCCCCTACAGGATGAAATATTTTACCCTTTAAAAGATGCTATGTTTTAGTGAGGTTCCCTCCAAGGTGGAGGTTTATCTTGGAGGAAATTTCTAAACAATACCTCCCAACATTTGTTGAGTTTTTTTTGTTTGTTTGTTTGCTTTCTGTGCTTGGATGTTTTGCTTGCATGGATGTCTGTGCACCACAGGCGTGCCTGGTCAATACAAAGACCAGAAAAAAGTGTTGGAGTCCATGTAACTGGAGTTCCAGGGGGTTGTGAACCACCGTGTGGGTGCTGGGAATTGAACCCAAGTAGAGAGTAGCTAGTGCTTTTAACCTCTGAGCCATTGTTCCAGCCATGTGCTGGAAATGCAAGCCTAGTGTGATAGTGTTAGGCAGCTGGGCCCTTCAGAAGTTACATAGTTCATAAAAGTAGAGCTTCTCTATATGGCATTACTAGAGAAAGGTAGGAGAGGACTATTGCTTCTCTCTATTTTTGATCATTAGAGAATACAA